AGCCTTTTGACATTCGTCAGCGGAGCCAAGCTTTCCGGGGCACGCTTGGTTTGACCTGCAGGTCCAACGAACTGTCATTCTCTTCGTCGGCGTTGTTAGCCAAGAAGAGTACGCTGAGGCTGAACGTAAATGATATCGCCATTTCATTGACATGCATTTTCATGTGCGAGCCATATGCAAGTAATATCAGACGGGCGCGCACTACGACATTGGGGACGGCGAACTTGACCAATATCACTGTGTATGACACTGCCACTACAATCGCAGACTGGGGTCTTGGTTAATAAATAAGGTCGTCCTCCGGGGGTTCATCTCGAATGGCATGCGCAAACTCAAGACTGCCACCCACGACTTCATACTTCTGACACGATGAAAACGGCCGTCGTGCTTGGGCTTCTGGCCCCCTTCGCCTTCGGGAACTGTACGTTTTGGGCACGCCAATGAACTGATTCGTTCTCTAACCACATAAGAATAGATCTTTTTCGAAGCATCACAGTGAACCGTGGACGTTCGGCCGACTGGGAATTCGTTCGTGAGACCGCCAACAATCCCGCCAGCAACCCCATCGAAGACGTCAGCTCGCCGCTTCTAAGTTGTTATGAGAAGATTGGGCGCCCAGTCTCGGCTGTGCAGACTGTGGCACCGGGCACTCGCATCAGATTTCCCTCCAGCGTTCCAATCGGGCACCCCGGTCCAGTGCTATTCTATCTGGCCCGTGTGCCCGATGGCCAGGATGTCAACTCCTGGACGCCCACCGGCAATGTCTGGTTCAAGGTGGATCAGTACGGTAACACGCCCGGTGTGAACAATCAGTTCGCTGTCGAGATGACCGAGGTCTTCACGACGATCCCAGCAAGCCTCCGCCCTGGCAACTACCTTCTCCGCGCTGAGCACATTGCACTCCACTCCTATCAGAAGCCACAGTTCTCCCTCGCTTGTGCGCAGCTTCAAGTCACTGGCTCTGGCCCTGATTTTCCGGAATCATTCGTGTCCTTCCCAGGGGCATACAAGGCTGATGATGTTGGTCTGTTATTCGACATCTACGCGGGCACAAACAACCCGTATCCCTATCCTGGCCCGGCCGTATGGGTTCCTTCAACTCCTCCGCCGACACCACCCCCTGCCACGACTCTTGTAACTCGCACTACAACTGCGGTCCCGCAGCCAACGGGCCCGGTGTGTGCACGCTTGTGGGCCCAGTGTGGCGGCCAAGGCTTTGTAGGACCAACCTGCTGTGCTGCTGGGACGTGTATCAAGCATAATCAGTGGTTCAGTACTTGCCTGAACAGCTGAGCTGACCGTGTGGAGGGCAATAACAGCTATTCGCGAGTTTCTGGCAGCATCAAGCTGCTAATCCGAGAAGCAAAAGAGTAGTTAGATGGACTGAAGTGCGTGGCGATACGTCATGGTACTCCGAAAACGTGACAGAGTTAGTTAAAGTACCACAGCACCTTCGTATCAAGACGTCAATAGTTGTGCAAGTTTCGTTGAGCTAGCCCCTTAGCAACGACTTTGTAGAGAACAATGTCATAGCACGTTGAATCTAATACAACTACCTAATTCCTCGCTCCGGATCTATTTATTGTTACGGCAGCGAAAGTTTCACAAGGACCGAATAGCTGCTTCGCTAAGGTAGCTAAACCGTCTTCAGCATCACCACGTATCCACAAGTGAGCCCACCATTGCATCGCTTTGACAGCCCTACGCAGCGTACTTATGCTCCCCACAGGTGCATGTGGCGCGCTTTGACACTTCGGTCTGATGGGACAAGACATCACGAGAACAGGTCCTCTCCGCACCCACCCCACACGCAAGACAGGGTGGGGCGCGGGGACGTCGTGCCGGATTGTGGTGCCGTGCTCCCAACCTTGCACCATGGCTTGACATTGCGGGGTTACAGCTATAAGACCCCAAGCTAGAGTGGTTGGGTGGCATCTCGGAGGTGGGTAACGGCAAGTTGTTGATTTTGTCCCTCAAGACTGTTAATAAAATCTCTTCCCCGCTCAGGCAAGCACAGCGGAACTGTCTTATTTGCTGTGAACTCAAGATATTGTGATAAGCAAGACCTCACGTGCCAGGAGGCACCTACATGAACCCAGCAAGATGGGTGAACAATTTGCGGCGTCTGAGCCTTTCACCATCAAGGATGAGCCAATTGAGAATCTGCGACCACTGAAGGTCATCGTCATTGGGGCGGGATTCTCGGGGATATACACAACAATTCGGTTCGTGGACGTGACCCCAATTGGACATGATGACTGTTAATGTGTGTGTTGCAGTTTATCCCAGCGGCTGAAGAATGTCAAGATTCAGACTTACGAACAGAATGAGGAAACCGCAGGTGTATGGTACGTCGAGCTCCCTCAAGCGGAATAATTAGAAGCTCGAAGCTCATCATCTTTCAGGTGGATGAACCGTTACCCTGGCATCGCTTGCGACATCCCATGTAAGTGTCGGGGCACATTTTTAGACTTCCTACTGCTCCCATGGCATGCTTCAAAGCTGACAGAGACTTGGGACAGCCTATTCCTATCAGTTCAGCTTCGCTCCCACCCCAAACTGGTCCTCGCTGTATGCACCAGGACCGGAAATCCGCAGGTATATGCAGGGAGTTGCTCAAAAGTATGGCGCGAACCGATTCATCAAGACATCCCACGCTGTCGAAAGCTGTGTTTGGAACGCTCGTCAGAGACAATGGTATGAAGCAACTTCCCTGCAAGACCTTTTTCATTGCTTGCCTAGATTTACTAATACTCAAAAACAGGCAGGTCAAAGTCCAGGATCTCAAGTCCGGTCTCGTCTTTGAGGAGACAGCTGATCTTGTCATTTCGGCTAAGGGTGGCCTTAATCAGATCAAATGGCCTAGGATCAAAGGCATAGAAGACTACCAGGGTAAACTAATGCATTCTGCTGCATGGGATGAAAGGTGAGCCAGCAGCGACCCTGCTTAGAATCTTGATTGGTCTAATCGGTACATGGCAGTGTTGATTTGCGCAACAAGCGAGTTGGAGTCATCGGCAATGGCTCCAGCGCTATTCAGATTGTACCCGCGATTCAAAAGCTCGACGGAATCAAGGTCTGGAATTTCGCGCGAAGCCCGACCTGGGTTTCGACTTCATTTGGCGATCTAGCGATGACCAAGATGGGGATGGACCCCAAGATCAACATATGTGCGTCTGAAGTGTTCGTCTGAATTGGAGATCCCAGCAACTAACAATGAATCAAACCCAGTTCCCGAGGAGCATAGAAAGCGTGTCACAGATGACCCTGAGCTATTTTACAAACTCCGCAAGACGCTCGAAGAAGAGGCTTCCAAGAAGTATCGTTTCGCCCTGAGAGGCTCGGAAGAACAAGCCATTGCTCTGGAGAAGTTTACCAACCACATGAAGGAACAACTGAAAAGCCGGCCTGACATTTATGAAGCCATCATTCCAACGTTTGCTCCCGGATGCCGGAGACTCACTCCTGGCCCAGGATATCTCGAGGCTCTCCAAGAGCAGAACGTGACCTTCAGTAATACGCCGATTCAACAGCTAACTTCGACGGGTCTCAAGCTCCAGACGGGCGAGCAGGTTGATCTGGATGCGATTGTTTGCGCCACTGGCTTTGATGTCCAGGCGGCACCTTCATTTTCCGTCACTGGTCGCAACGGCGTAACGCTACAGGAGAGATGGTCGCCTCATCCAGAGACATATCTCGCCATTGCCGTGGACGGATTTCCGAACTTCTTCCTCATCGGCGGGCCCAACTCCGGTCTTGGCTCCGGCAGCCTTCTCGCCGTCCTCGAGGCCCAGGCTGATTATGCGATCAAGATGATCCGGAAGTTGCAGAAGGAGGACTACGCGACTTGTGAAATCCGGCCGGAACTTGTCGCCGACTTCAGTCGTTATATCGATGAGTACTTCAAACAGACCGTGTACACGGAAGACTGCTCGTCTTGGTATCGCTCATACGACAAGGGTGATCGTATCGTGGGGCTGTGGCCTGGGTCATCATTGCATTGCCTCGAGGCACTGCGAGCGCCGCGATGGGAGGACTTTGTCTTTGAAAGTGTGGAGCCTAGAGGCAACTTACTGAGGTGGCTAGGCAGCGGCACCAGTTTGACGCTCAGCGACGGTGATCCTGCGTGGTACATAGATCCACGTTATGTTGACGTGCCGGAGGAGGGGAGGCCTGAGGAGGCGCAGGTGTATCATCAGCGACCATTTTCGCACTAGCTGAAGGCTGACGACGTTGCTCCGAGAACGGTCCCCTGTGTTTGTGTTTTCAAGAGTATCGATCAGATGCGACGAGCCTTACCCTTTCACGTAGAGCAGCGTGGAGAGGAAGAACCAATAGTCGAAGAATACATTCGGGCGACTACTTGTCTTGTATTTGGTGGCGGCGTCCTCGTCTCACACCCCTGAATCTTATGCCACGAGGACCTAGCCAGTCATACCCTTACCAGTGGTGTCGAGTGCCTGATCGCAGGCGCGTCTCATTTTCGGTCCTTCATCTTGTGACTCGTTGTACTATGTAGACGTTGTGGGCCATCGACCTGAGCCGTCCTTGACCTCAGCCTAATGAAGATTGATGAAGATGGAGTTCGCAATATTCGCAACCACCTAACGACGCCATGTTCGTCAATCCCATTCATACTTGACAGGAGACAAAATCTGCCGAGAGGAATTATCTGAGGTGTTCACCACCCAATCATGCAAACTACCTATATTGGGCGATGGATCCCAACCCGGAAAAGGTTTAGCTCTTGGCGGCGGAGTCCATCGGCCGCTTGAAAAGGTAGGCCAGGGGGGCAAATGAGGCAGTGCCATGCCCAACATCCGAAGGGCCCCTCGTCTGCCGGGCCTGGGTCAATCCCGATCCTCCACCCTCGACAAATCCTCCAGTGTCGAAACACCTGCCACGCAAGACGCCACAGCCATACTTACCACACGTCCCTCGACAATGCCCAGCAGTCGCGCCGACGACGACACGACGAGGCGCCGACGCGCCGCCCATACATGATGTCTTCCCCGAACCCGACCGACTCGACAAACAACGGCGGCCCTGCAGGACAGCAGGTTGCCGAGCCCGGACCGAAACACTTCACGATTGGCGACGTGCATCCCGACAATGACAAGTACCGTGGCCTGACGGGCGACATCGGGGAGCAGGATGTGAAGCAGAAGTACTTTGAGGAGGACTTTAAGTTCGTCATGCCGGATCATCTACGAAGGCCACACCAGGTCAACCCCCGAGCGGCGCCACCGGCGTCGGGCGCATACGAACAGGGCGACTTGAACTCGACGGCCCCATATTCGTCCGACTTGTCGACGACACAACTGGATGGATCCCGCTCGACTGTCTCGGAATCAACAGCCCAAGACAAATCCGTGCCAGGCTCTGACGACGACGACGGTGTGAAGCAGTCGCTCGCCTTCAGAGTCGCCGGCAAGGTCGACAACTTGACAGACGCTGCACAAAAGGCCGTTAAGCAGCGACGGACGGACGACAGGAAAAATGGGACGATATGTGGTCTACGGCGCAAAACCTTCTGGATCGTGTTTATCGTCGCTTCTCTTGTCATCATCGGCCTGTCCGTGGGTCTGGGTGTCGGCTTGGCCGTGGCCAACGACAACGACTACTACGCCTCCTACTACGATGACGGCATCGTCAATCTCGGCAACATCAGTACATCTCCCGAGGCGATCTACTTGAATACGACGCTGTCTTCTCTGAACTTTACCGACAAATTCGGATATGATAATATTGTTGTATTCTACCAACTCAATTCGAAGGTCCTTTGCCGGTCGCTGTGGAATTCCTCCGACGAGAAGTGGACTGCTGCAATCGTCAGTAACGAAACCCGTGGCATCGAAAAGGGCACGCCACTGTCCTCGAATCTTTATTGGTACAACGACGACAATGGCTTTGAGGTGCGGCTGTACGCGGTCACAGAGGACAGGACACTGAACGGGTGGATCAGCAGCTCGCACACCAACGGCAGCCTGCTCGAATTTTGGACCAACTCGAGCATCGCTGACGTTGACGCGGTCCCTGTGGGAGAAGGCTCATCAATCGTCTCCAACGGCAACGAGAACTTCGGAACGCTTGCGTTGGACATGGTTGCGTATCAGGACCACAATGGCACCATGCACCTGCTCCTAGCCAACGGGGATACCAGCGCCCCGGCCTGGGCTGCTTCGATCATGCCATTCGATGACTATCTACCAGCATGGAACACCCCCATGGCGCTGACACCTGTGTATCAACGAGGTGATCCCAGCTTGAGTCTTTTCTACTACAACGAATTTGGTTATTTGAGACAAGTTTCGATCCACAGCGCAACAGATGTTACCCAAGTCTATGGTGTCGCAGAAACAGGCTCATCATTGCGATACTACGAGGCCACACCATATACCGTCCTCGCTGCCTTCACAGCGGGCTGGAATGATACATCTGACGATCTCAAAGTTCAGGTGCTAGGCCTTGATGGCCTGTTGTACAACTACTCTTACCAAAATGCCTGGCTGATGGCATATCAGTACGGACAGTGGGCGGCCAAGGAGTATGTCCCCACCATGGTGAACAACAGGAATCCGATGGTTTTGACTGCCAACCAAGCTGGCAGAGTGTACGGCACGATTGTGCAGAACACGTCTGTTCTGATCTATGAGTGGATGTGGGAGGGGGGCAACAGTTACAAGCCAATAGGTGTGGTGAACACGACATTGCCGTCGGGTTAGGCACGGAACTATCACCAAAGGAAGGAAGGATATATTATTGTATTAGCGCGCGACAATTGATTTTGCACATTTCCCAATCTTCGTTCTGATGCTGGCGTCTTGCTTTTTGCGAAGTTATCATCACTGTCACGTATGGATGCTGTGCGAAATTCATTGCTGAGTTGAGAAGACAACGAGGCAGAATTGTTAATGCAGGTGGCGTAAGTTATGAGCCTCCCCAGCCCTCAGCTTTTCTCATTAAATGCAACGAGAGCGATTTGGGTGGACTGTGGCACAGTGGAGAGGTAGCAGAGATAGAAGGTGGACACGATCTTGCCTCATCCCAAACAGGCAGCAATCCTTCATCACTTGGCTCGACGGAAGACCAAATGGCCTGAGTCACATTTTCCCTTCGTCAACAGTAGCTTTACAGCTCATATCGCGAGGACCTATACTATCTTACACGGATTCAGAGCATGGGGTGTCCGATTCAACTGTTCGATTTACCACCAGAAATCCTGCATCTTATTGCATCGCAACTATGCATCCACTGCCGTCATGAACCAGCGCCAGTGTGGAAGACGAGGATGCGATCAGCCACCAGCATATGGAATGAGCGTAGGAGCCTCATGGCGTTGAGTTTAACCTCGAAGGCTCTACGAGAAGTGGCCCAGCCGATTCTATTTCATTCCTTGCTGATACACCGCTGCCGAGCCGACAGCCTGAGGGATCTTCATGACAGGCTATTTTCTGCCGTTCACCTCTTCGATACACAGCCTCGCCTAGCGCAGCTTGTTAGAACGGTTGATATTGGTGCGTTCAACGAGGATTGCACATGTTGTTATCCTGAGCAATTAGACGACGCTACTCAGCAGCAGATGCTGCTCATTAAACAGGCTGTCACAAATCTCGGGCTCGAAGCCAGCGACAGCCAGTTGAAAAATATATGCTCTGGAGATAACATCATCGAAACGCTTGTCCAAGTACTGATCTTACAAACGCCTACTGCCGACCGGTTATCTCTGTCTCTGCCCAAGGATTGGGCATTCGGTCTATTTACAAAGAAACGCGCTGATGGTAGTGGCAAACACCACGTGTTGAAGGCTACCAGGATCGAGGTGGAGGTGGACAAGACCATCAGTGATGCTTGTGACAACTCAGACGACCATGGACTCTGCAACACTTACGGCCCCAGGAGCATGGCCGAGGAGAATCTCATCGACATCGCTCCCAACGTTCAGTTTCTTTGCTGCGGATCAGGTGCTCTTGTGGCTCCTTCCATGAGCCAGAGTCCTGGGCTGTCTCAGCTCACGTCTCTGCAGCTCATCTTCAAGGGCATATGGAGCCCGTTTCTCCCCAAACTGCTACGCGAATTATCGCACCTCCAACACGTCAGCTTTGTCTCGCAAAACACACATTGCCCCACACCTCGCTTGATCAAGGAAGCATTGCTCTTGCTGCCTGCGAAGGGCACACTGCAATCGTTGACACTCTTGCCCATGTATTGGGTGAACCAACCATTGGGTAGCATGGAGAGTTGGCATCCCGCGGCCGAGACAGCTCTTTCTTATCCGATCGCCACTCTGAAGGAGTTTGAGGGATTGAAGGTTCTCTCCATTGACAGCCTTGTTGTTTACCCCTTCGACCCAGATGGCCCTTCGACCAGGGACACCCAGAGACTGGTCAACTTTCTGCCCTCGTCACTTGAGATACTGGTCATGAGAAGCCTCGGTCAGGCGATATATGCGGTTCCCGAATCGCACTTTCAGGCACTTGCCGATGCAGTGGTGGCAGGGCAGTTTCAAAGATTGCGTTGGGTGTTCTGGACCGATGAACAAGACGGGTACATCATGCAGCCGCACGACAGATTCAGACCCGGCCTCGGGTTGCCGTCCTCAGAAACCCCCGGTGTTCTCGGTATTTCTAGAGATACGGCCGAAATCAAACTGTCATCAACGGGCAGTATCTGTACCAAAGAGGCTGGTGAGCAGTGGGTAGCCCAGGGACTTTGGAAGAAGAGGCTACATCCAGATCTCTCACAGTGGTTGGAATTCGTCGAAGAGCCGGATGCTTTTCCCGACTGGGACAGGTTGTGGGAGGACTGCGTGAGGAGATATGCCCCGAATATATGGGCCGATCCAGAGTAGCCCGGAGCTCGTCGAGTCATTACCGGTCGATTTCTTGCCATACGGCTCTTGCTTTAAGGCAAATGAGAGGATGGGTGCTCCTGGTATATAGATCCCACCACGTAAAACTGTACAGCCTGTTTGTACGATCTCATGTGGTAAGGATTCGCCTCATGCATCTCGCACGCGAGTAGCTGGGTAATCCGGACAATATCAATCCAAAAGCTGCAATGGACAGGTCTTGTGCACAAGACCCAAGTAATCATATGCAATTGCGACGTCACATGCGTACTCGGTGAGTAGCAATAGAAGAGATATTGAGGTTAAAGCTTTCTTTCATTGGGTATTCTGCCTGGACTATTGTCAAGGGCAGCCAGTCTTGTCATTTCCCTATGACCGGGGAGTTCTTACCCGAACGCCGCAACGCCAAGCCGAACGAGGTGTCTGTGACTTTGTCTAGACTTCAGCTTCAGTCGACAACAATCACCACCTCCGACCTCGACCCCGGCCACCAAAGCCGCCACGGTTGACGCCGCCCATGCCACCCTGCTGGTCAAACCCGCCAAATTGGCCCTGGTTGCCTCCGAAACCCTGCCCAAAGTTCTGTCCCTGAGCGCCTGGAACGCCGGCGTTACCAGCTTGGCCCTGCATGCCGGAAAACATGGCCGACATGGCTGCGGGGTCCATCTGGCTGGGATCCATGCCTGAGCTCATCATCTGCTGCATCATCTGCTGCATCTCAGGAGGCATGCCGTCCATGCCGCCCATGCCGGCCATACCAGCCTGGCCCTGCGCACCTTGCGCGCCGCCGGGCATGTTCATACCGCCTCCCATCATCATCATCTTGCTGAAGTCTTCCATCATCTTGTTGTTGCCCGCCATCATAAGGTCGCCGCTGAACTCGCCGCGGATGGCCTCCTGCTTGGCAGCATATAATGCCCATGTGAACTCATCGAAGCCATAGTTGAAGTAGTCACTGATGTCGGTACCAGGCTTGCGCCATGGCTTTTCGTTATCGCCGAGGTCTATTTGTTCATTAGCCATGTGCCGTGTGAGGCGTGGTTACAAGCGCCAACATACCCTCATCAATGTTGACTGCCGTAATATGCTTGCCCGAGCCTGCATGGATGGGATTGCCGTTGACGTCGATCTTCGAACTTGATGCGGCGGCGGCGACCTTGTCGGCACTGGGCACAGCCAGAGCGACTGCAGGAGACTCGAACTTGGGTGCGGGGGACTTGGACGAGGGTGCAGCCGGGGCTGCTGGTTTGGCGGCGATGTCGCTAGAAGCGGTCCTTTGAGGGATGTTGCGAATGTCGCTGTACCTCGATTGTCTGGTGCGCGCGTCACGTCAGTATTGGAAGGTTCAAGATGCACGCACAACGTCCGCGGGGCATACGTTGGTGGGGCAGCTTTTGTGCCGTCTTTGCGCTCCGTGATGATGTCGATGTCCTACGACAGAAGGTCAGCGGAGGCTCCAGTGCTATAGTTCAAGGCGGAAGGAACTGACTGAATCACTGTCGTCCTCATCCATTGCACCACCTTCATCTTCCTCCTCGCCTTCCTCCAGCTCCGCCTTCGGCTCCTCCTTGGGAACTGGTGTCGGCGACGCTGAAGCTTCCGTCTTTGTCGCCTTTTCCGTCGCCTCTGTAGGCTCGGGCGAGTAGAAATCCTCGTCGTCGTCAACGTCCATTGCGCCTTCTTTTCGATATGGCTTCGAATTCGGGTAGAGTGCGTTCGGTACGGCGGGACCCTATGGATGCAGAGGGCGACGTCGCTATGATGGAACCTGGCTTTGGAGGAGGACTGGGTGCTTCAATCCACAACGACCAGGGACAACAACCGAAGTTGATCCCAAGCTCCAAGCTGTCTCTACACCGAAGCACACCGAACGGCACAACGTCGGGGATGGTCGGGAAGCACTTGGCGTCTCTCGGTGGAGCCCCTGCCACCGGAGGCCCACCGAATCGAAGCTCTCACTCCAATTCAGCCAATCAGATTCCAAGCACACCAAAGCTCGACTTCACGTTTGTGCCTGGACTCGTCGCGCCTACATTCCCTCTCAAGCGTAGCCATCCTGCGAGGGCCTCAACCAAGAACAACAGCCAAAGACTTCCAGCACCGCAAGGTACGCGATTGAAGAATCTTGATCCTAGACCGGAAACCGTGTCTTACTTTGCGTAGTCGAAATGTTCGCCGCCAACAAACCAGCAGGGCTCACGCTCAACACTCCGAGGTACGTTCCCGAGATTATTGTCGTGCTCTGCGATTCTCCTGCAGACGACAGCTTGCAAGGCCTCTGTCTGACGTGGTCGTCCTCTTTGCACCAGTGGTGGGGGTCTCTTCGGCAACACGCAGAGCTCAACCACAGCCCAGCAGCCAGCCAGCGGTGGCCTTTTTGGTGGCGGCGCAAACACACAGTCCCAACAGCAGCCGGCCAGCGGCGGCCTCTTTGGCAACACGGCTAGCAATCAGCAAACGCAGCAGCAGGGCTCAACAGGTGGCGGTGGTCTCTTTGGTGGATCTACTCTCGGTCAACCCCAGCAGCAGCAGCAGCAGCAGTCGACTGGTGGAGGATTATTTGGTGCCTCGACGACTCAAAACAACCAACAGCAGGCTGGAGGTGGATTGTTTGGTGCCTCGACGACACTGAACACTCAGCAGCAGCAGCAGCAACAGCAGCAGCAGAGTGGTGGTCTTTTCAGTTCTGCAACCCAGCAAAAGCCGGCCGGGCTCTTGTACGTCCCATCTCGCCCATTGCCTGTCTTCTCCCACTAACTCGCTCCAGCGGGGCCTCCACCGCTGCCCCCGCCCAGCAGTCGACAGGCGCCGGCCTCACGATGGGCCAGTCGACGAACCAGGGCGCCATTCCAGGTGTGCGCATCGACCTCGCCAACGTCAAGGGCACGACCAAGTTTAACGATCTCACCCCCGAACTGCAACGCGAGATTGAGACGTGCGACAACATTATCCAACAGTACATGAGCCAGGCCGGCCAGATTAAGTCGTTCATGACGGCTCACGAAGGCGACCTGGCGCGCCTGACCCACGATGTCGAGTGGCTGACGCGCAAATTCGACGGCGTCAAGACGACCCTCGAAGACGACGTCAAGATGACGGCGCAGCTCAAGGAGGTGGTCAAGTCCGACGCCGACATTGCCAAGGCCGCTTTTGCCGGCGCCGAGCAGCTCAAGCTGCCTGCTCACTACCACACGACCTGGCTGACGGCAAACAAGCCGGCCGCCAAATCCAAGGACAAGGAAGAGGAGCCCGCTCTCGAGGACTGCATCACGCTCTTCTCGAACGAGGCCGACCGTCTCAACCAGATGCACCAGTTCCAGGTCCAGAAGGTTAAGGAGATGGAGCAGCACATGCCCGGTGTCGAGAACGGCCTCTACGAGCGGATGCGCGCCCTGCGCGACGGAGCGCCTCACTTTGCCGGCTTTGGGTTCGCCGTCGAGCTCCTCGATACGGTCAAGGCGCTGGGCGACGAGATTGTCCGCGCGGCTGGCCTGATCGTTGAGTCGCGTGAGAAGTTGACAGAACTTCAGCTGCGCACGCTGCCTTCGCGCAAGTGAAAGTGGAACGCTGGCTCTGGGGTACGGGTGGCGTTGGATCTTGGCTCGTGGCCCCGGTGCATTTTCATTGCACGTTGCAGTGCGGCTTGTCTCGACTGAGTTGGATTCAATGCAGGCGAGACAGCCTGCTGGAGCTGGACACGAGAAAGGTCTGCGGCAGAGGCACGGTCAAGGGCAGGGTTGGACTTGGTTTGGCGTTTCGGGGCATCGCTAGGGATGCATAGCAAGTGAAATGATTTTGATGTTCAGAGGGGCAAATAGGCCATAGATACCCTGTGTAAGGCATGAACGTTGGCTGATATGGCACACACGTGTACGTTGATCAGGGGCATGCACATGACAGAATTATGCTTTCATTCATATAGCAGGGTATCTAGAAGCCACCTGGCTCAGTGAGTCCGCGCCAACCAACCCCGGTTGACGGTCAAACGCCCCCTTTCCCTCCAGTATCCACGCTGCACAATGTCCCTTGCGGGCAATGGTCATACTGTGTGTGTAGCGATCAATCAGTAGGCGTCCCCGCCCTGGTCGTCATCGCCGCCGTCGTCATCCATGTCATCGCCGTTTTCAAAGTACTCTTCGGCATTGTAATCGCCGGCATCCTCATCGTCGTACTCCTCATCCTGCTCCTCCTCTTCCGCCTCGTCGTCCTCGCCCATCTCGGCCTCCTCGCCTTCGGGCTCCCGCCCCATCCTGTTCAGCGCCTCCAGTCTCCTCTTCGTCGCGTCCTCTCCGCCGGCCTCTTCGTCCCACTCGTCCTCGGGCAGCGTAATGCCAAAGACATCCTCTGCCGTGGGCAGCGCCCGTATAGACGACAGCTGGAACCCGCGCTTCCTCTTCCTGCCGCCGCCGCCGCCTCCGCCGGGCCCATCGGCGCCCTCAAACGTGGCGTGCAGCTCCTTGGGCACGAACTCAGGACAGTAGGGCCGCGCGCCAAAGTCGGGGAGCGTGCGCTCGGCGCGGACGAAGCGCTGGGCGTAGGTCGGCACGGCAGTGAAGGGGTCCTGGTTGGCCTTTGTGCGGGCGCCGCCGCCGCCGGCAGCGTATTTGGCGTTGAGCTGGGCCTGGCCGTAGTGTTTGTGGGACGAGGAGAAAGCCGAGTCGGCGGCTGTGTAGAGCTTGCGTGTCGTGTAAAGGGGCCCGTCGTGGATCTGGTGGCGGAGGAGGAGGAAGGCTGCGACGGAACGGGTTTCTTGGGATGTCAGAGGTTTCGCCTCGGGGACGGAGTAGGCCTGTCTTCTGTTAGCACAACTACTTGAACACGGCCCATTGGCAGCAACGAGGGAATCAACGAACAGGGAAGAGCTCGGAGGGACGAGCGTCGACGTCTTCGCCTTCCCAGGGAAGTTGGGGGCCGCCGCCGCCGCGACGTCCACCTCGGCCGCCGCGACCGCCGCCTCTGCCTCCGCCGCGGGACATGAGGTTGTGTCAATTATGTTGGTG